GCCACTGCAGTCAGTTCTTCCCCTTTCATTTAGGAAATAGCTTTGTGAAGTCACTCTTAAATCCAATGTCCTCTCTTCAGTAAATGTATTTTCTCCATTTCTTAAGGCAAAGCAGAGAGCAGAGGTACTTCAGTCCACCCAGAGATTCTTTTCTGAGCAGCAGCAGCAGAGCAAACCCATAGGAGGCAAAGCGCAGAAAGTGGACGAGAATGGGAGCAAACCCACCGAGGCAATTGCTGACTCTTCAGGAGTCTGCCAGGACAAAACCGAGGAAAAGCCTACCCCAGCACCTGCCACGGCAACAAAACCTGTTAGAACTGGACCAATCAAACCTCAGGCAATCAAAACCGAAGAAACAAAATCTTAGAGGCTGTGTTTCCGTGGAGGTGGGGGAAGAAGGGAGGGCGGGTGAGATGACAGCAGCATGAATTTGTAGCCCGAAGGACAAGACAGCAGTCTTTCCCCCTCCAGGGCTCTGAACAGCATAAAGGGACATAGAAGCTCTCAGCAGTTACGGGTGCAAACTGCTGCGTATCCAACCAAGCTTCTAGGCTCTTTGGGCTTGTATCTTCTCTAACAGCATGAAGGCTGCTTTTGGTGTGTGCGTGTGTTTTGGCTTACACACCTGTTTGCTTCCCAAAGTGGGGGGGAAAAAAAAGAGAAATAGGAATGGCAAGGAAGAAGGTGGTTGGGGAGGCATGTTCACAGCTGACAATATGAATTCTCTTATTTTCTTCAGGCTCTGATCTTCAGCTGCTACTTATCTTTTTATAAACCCATGAGTATGAGAACATGCAGATCTGAAGATGGTGCTGGGCCAAGTAATGTGTGTTAAGTTTTTTAGTGACTTAAGAAGCTTCTATCTGTAGTAAACAGAGGGATTCATGTAGCTGGCAGAATTGCCATTGCCACGTGACATCTAACCGAACGTAACACAGAGTAATGCTGGTGATGCTGAATTTCCCTTGGAAGGCAGTACTTTTCTGGCTGCTGCTTCTTGGACAACAGTACACTATTTAGTTCACCATATGAAAATGCTACTTGGCCACCCGTGTTCTCTACACCCACTCCCCCCTCAGTCATTCACCTCTGGAGTTGAAAAGTTCATTGCATCAGTAGTCAGATTTGTTCTGTTCACCTGTCCAGCTATCTTTATATGATGCGAGTGATCTTTAAACGGTTTCCAGCTTATGTCTGTATACAGCAACGAGCACTTAGAACTGTGCCATGAGAATAAAAGAAACCTTATCAGATTAAAGAGTTTTATCTAGAAGGTGCATTCTTTATATCAGAGCTGCGTCGCACCACCTCCTTGCCCACAGTGTGCTGGAAAGTAGAATAAAGTCAAATAAATGCCTTTTTAATTGTATCCTCTAGTATTATAGCTGTAGGACAGTACTGTATGATACTTCTGTGAATGTAAGATATCCTGTACCTGCTTATGATATGTAGTAGTGACTGTGCTATACTGGAGCTGTTTTTAATAATGTTATTCTAGAGGTTTTTTTCCAGACAATGATTGAAAAAGCTAATAAAAAGCACCAGGTACCACATCAGTAGCAGAATTTGCTGTTTTTTTCTGGGATTTTTTTTTTTTTTACATTTTTTGGAAGGAAGAGTTGAAAGTCTAATGTGTATAATTTTGTTCAAATGACTGCAGAAGCTGGAAAGGCTGTTGCTGCTATTGATGCCTAGTGAATTGCTATTGGTTATCTTTTTATATAAATATATATATAATTTGATTTTTTGGAAACTAGCTGTGCTGTCAACTTTGGAAAAAAGTATCCCACTTGTAGTGTGAGTTGGCATTGTACAGAAATTAACAGCCATATTGGTCTAGAAATGTTAAACTTAATTTTTTTTTCCATTTGTACAGGGGTAACGCACTGTATTAAATATGTACGGTCTTATTTACATGGGTTTGATTACAGAAACTAATAAAGTATTCTCTAAATAAAGTATCTGGGTAATCTCATGATTAGTGCAGTGCTGCAGGATGCAAGGACAGCACCTGAACATCGTGTGCCAAGTGAAGCTTGGGAAAACAGACTTCTAAAGAAAAATGGTTTGAAACAGCTTGATTGTTTCCCCTGGCACTTTTGATCTTGTTGTCCAGCAAAGGCCTCGCAGAACACGGCTTCCGTCTGGCCCTGGAAGGAGCCTGCCAGTTGCGTTTGCAAGACGTTCCCTCTTCGGTGTGTTGGTGAGCTGCCTGGTGCTGGAGACTCGGGGTTGGGACCTGGAGAAGAGCTGCTCGTCGGGGGAGACCAGGATGGACCCGGCCAGTTTGAGCCTGTGGGCAACACAGGCACTCTCGCAGCAAGGGGCTGTTAAAAGCAAGAGGTTTCCTGCAGCGGGGAGCAGGACTGAGCCTTCCCAAGGACGTGGGAGGCTTCCTTGTGCTGCTCGCAAGCCCCTCCCTTCCCGACTTGCTGTGAGCAACACCCACTCGCTACTGTACTACTGCCCCTGGCCCTTGAGCCCAGGGCAGAAGGAGGGGTTGAGCTTCCACCAGCCCTTCGGCTGTGGGGTGGCTGGGCGGGAAGCGGTGCTCTGGGGGCACCAGAGGAGCTGGAGTCTCCTGCCGAGGTCAGTTCTTTTAGAGGTTAAAACTGCAGCGCTGTGGAGTGAGGAAAGGTGCTGTAATCCACAAAAAGAGCTGTGGGCAAAAGTAACCTCGGAGTAGGTAAGACCACAGGTAAATCGCCATTTTTTACAGGAACCATACGAGTACAGCTACAGTAAACACTCAGGGAAAAGAGGATGGAGTGAATGTGGACATTGGTTTGGTCTGTAAGTGTGCCTTAGAAAAGAGTAACCAAGTTATGCTGATGTTTCCTGGGTTTGAGGCATCTTCTGCCTGGTTCATGTGGGAAAGACCCACTAAAAATGGGAAAGCTTTCACCTGACTATTTTTAAGAAAGTGCTGTTCAGGATTAATCTTAAATTCTCCAGTAAAGCCACTGGTAAAGTCAGATAAACTTGCCACACTCTGTTGTGGGAATGCACCAGACTTCTGGCTATTTCTTGTACTGAGCAGAACAAGGATAATATTTTTGCAGAAGCTTAATTAAAAGCAAATGCTTGGGCATTTAGTGCATCCAAATAACACCGTTTTCATGTGTACCTCTCCAAAACAGTCCTGAACTACCCTGGTTGCCTTTGAGGCCAGGTTGAGCTTTCAGTCACTGACTCCAGTTCATTGAATATTTTTATGACATTTAACCAGGTAACTTGCTCTTGGCCATTTACGCTGGAATAGATCTTGCTTTTTTAATTTGAGTAGGATTTGGTATGTAATCTCTTTTCTAGGACTCTGATCATCACAAATAATTATGCTGAACCTCCCATAAATTGGGAAACAATTGTTGGGGAAATTAAGGAGAAAAAAACCCAAACAATCAGTCAGCAAAAAGATGGTAACTTCTCTCAAGGGCAAGAGCAGAAGTGGGTTAATGTGACTGGGGCCAGAGCCAGCACCCCCCCCCTTGGCTTGGGCTTGCTTCTTGCTGAGATGCAGGAGGGGAGGGTCTCTAGACTTGTTTTTGCAAAGCCTGTTAAGTAAAGCTGTGTATTCAGCATTGTTCAGCTCCAACCCAGCTTTCTGGAAATCCTGTCTACAGTGGCTTGTCTTAGTTTTTTGGGGTTTTTTTTAGTAATGAAGTGATGGACTTCCCAGCCTGAGGAGACCCCAGCGCTGGCAGCACAGGGAGAGGTGGGAAGGGCTGGGGCTCTGCCCTTGGTGTCTTTGCTCAGGGAGAAGGCATTGGTGCTGCTGCTCCCCAGGGACCTCTGCACAAGGCCTCCCTCTTGGAGGGGGCTTGCCTCACACTTTCTGGGAGCTTTGGGACGAAGCGGTGCTCCAGCCCCACTGCCTCTCCTCTTTTGAGACATATGCTGTTCTCCCATCTTTGGTGGCAGGTTTTCTGTGCGTTGGGTGAGCGGCTGTTTGCCAGGCTGCCCCTGGCTGGGTCAGTGGAGGCAGGGGCCGCCTGCTGTCTGCCTACCTCTTCTCTGTCCCAGTGGAGATGTGACAGGCCCTGCCTGCTCCTGGGTGCCCCCCAAGGCTGCCTTCACCCCCAGCTTTACTCTCCTGGATCTTGACCTAGCCTTTGCATTGTTTCTCTGCACCAGGGCCCAACCAACCAACCCTCCTGGCCGGGTTTTTGTAGCAGGACCAAGGGATGCTCGGGGGATAGGGCTATGCACCCTGTTTTCTGAGGCCAGGAGACCACACCATGGTGGCTGTGTGGGAGCATCCTTGGATGGGGAGATGCCTTTCCTCACGGTGAGCTTCCCAGCCTTGTGCTGGGCCTGCCAGGGAGCAAGGGGTCTTTCAGCTGCCTCCCTTGATGTTCTGGGTCCAATTTCTGCCCAAGCTGCAGCCCCAGGGTTGTGTCCCGTTCCCCCTGCCCTGGACTCACCCAGAAGCAGCCCTGACGGTGGAGGAGGGTGTGCTACCTGCTGCTGGTACCCTCTTGTCTCCTGCCCTCAGGAACAGGGTCCGTTCTGAGCTAGGGCCCATCCCTGCAGCCTCCTGGTTCAGAGCACCACAATCTCCTCGGTGAGCAGCCCAACCCTGGTGCTGCAGCAGCAAAGCGGGGGACTGCCTCTGTCCTGCCACATCCCTTGTGCTCCACGATGCCCCCAGCACCAGCCTGCCCAACCCCCAGCACTGCTACCTGGAGCTCATTAATCTTTCCCCTTCTGTAAATCATCAGGGTTTAGTGCTGAAGCTGTCACTTTTTTTCTGATTCCATGTTGCAGCCCTTCTTCATGCTGAATAAAGGTACTCCTGGGGCCAGCCCTACCAGCAGCTGCCTCCCAGATGTGACATTTTCCTAGCAAAAGCTTTACAGCTCCTCACCAGCACCTTCAGCCTGTCAGTGTATCCAGGGTGGCACCAGTGCTTCACACACATGCAACCCCCCCCTCTTCCAGGCTCCAGCCCACCAAACCCCCAGGAAAAAACGGGTTTGAAAAGATGAGGCGCAGGACAGTGGTGGTGGGCAACCTTTATTTGGCTGGGACCCTGCACATCCCCTGGGGGCTGCAGCTGCTGCTCTCCCGAACGCTGGGGAGGGAAGAAAAAGCATCCTACCAACTTTCTACAATAAATAGTTAAAATCACATGCTTTGGCCCAGCGTGGGGAGCGCTGCCAGCCAGGCAGGGCTGTAGCTGCCGTGCCACATTGGTGGCCAAGCACAGCCTGTAAAGCTGAAGCGCATGGCCAAGAGGGGCAGGGCATGTCAAGGGGCCACTCAGCTGCAGGATGCTCTGCCAGGACTCCTCATCGCTGCTCTCTTGGGTTTTTTTCCCAATAAAACAAGGTTTGTGCAATGAGTGTCCGTATTCCCCACTGCCGTTGATCCTGCCAAATGATTTTTGGAGGTGGCTGAGCTCTGGTATGCCCCCAGGCACCGGTGGTGTGGGATGCAGTGAGGCTTGTGGGCTCGCAGCAAGAGAGCTCAGATGCTGTTGGTAGGTGAACACTGCTCTCCTCCACAAGGCTGGCTTGAACTGGGGAGACCTCCCTGAAACTGCTACTGCTGAGGGGGGCTTGGAGGGCAGCAGTGGTGCTTGTGCTCAGCTGGAGCCTGGAAACACAAACCCCAGCCCACCAGAGAGGATGGTTGCTTGCAACTAGGGAAGGTGTATGTTTTCAGGTGTGATCCTCCCAGATGGCCTCTCCTCACCTCCCCCACCTGGCCGTTGCTGTGCTCCAGGAGGATGCTGGAGCAGCTGAGGGCTGGGTATTGCTATGGCATATCTGAAACCCACCGAGGCTGGGGAGAGGCTTTTTGTTGGCTCAGCCAAGCTCTGGAGGACTTAATTTCTCTCTGCTGCACTTGAGCACAATGGGATGTTGTTGGAGGTGCCAGCAGGGATGTTGGTGGCCCAATGGCAATGTGGCTGGGCAGCACGTGGCCTCCACCATCACTCAGGGCTCTCTAAGGCAGCGCTCCTGGCCACACCAGGGGAAGCTGGGGAGCAAAGCGGGGTGCTGAGGCACATATGGGGCTTGCAGGGGCTGAGCTGGCATGTCCCTGGCCCTGACTTATGCCGGGGAGAGGCGGACAGGGTAGGTGACCATGTTGAAGCTGTCCCAGGCGAAAAGCTGCCGCTCAGCAGGGTTGTAGTCCACCATGCTGAGGTAGCGGAAGCGGTTCTCAAAGGGGATGCTGAGGGCCCGGCTGGTGCTGGTGGCTGTGTTGTAGGCGAAGTTGACGGTGGCATTGTGTGCCGAGTAGCTGCTGACAGTGTAGAGGGTGCCGCAGATGACGAAGGAGTTGGCCACCCCCCGCTTGCGGATGTTGGTTTCCCAAGTGCGCTGGATCTTCAGTGTCTCGGGGTCCAGCTTGGAGAGGACGATGGCCCCCCGGGCCTTCTCAGTGCTGTAGATCGCCCAGAGCCCCGTCTCATCCACCGCCAGATCAATGTCGGTGTAGCCCCCCCAGGAGTAGGGGTACTGCCCATGGTAGCCAGCACCAGGGATCTCCCTCTCAACCGTGACGGCCTCTCCCCGCAGGTCATAGCGGGCCACAGTGCGGGAGCGGCGGAGCTGGAAGAAGAGCCCACCACGGTAGACAACGGCTCCCGTGCTCTCCAGGGGCCGCGGCAGGATGTGCACCTTGGCGGGGTAGCCCTGGGCCAGCTGCTCAGCCGCCTCATACTGGAAGAGCTGGCGGACCTCTGCGCCCACCGCATCCACACGCCAGGTGGTCTCCCGTGTGAAGGGGGGCACAGGCTCAGGGTCCTTCATCCACACACCATACTTGCCGGCGAAGGACTCTGCCCGGCCGAAGACGACAGGCTCCCCCACCCACACCAGCTCACCGCAGCCTGCTCGGGGACAGGAGGGGAGAGAAAGGGGTTATTTCTTGGTGGCAGCAGCACCCGGTGAGCCCCTCAGGAGGGCCAACCGGTATTTGTGAGCAGCGGAGCATGGGGCCGGCTGGGCCAGTGGCAGTACCCGAGTCCTTGCTCCCTGGGCGGCCGAGTGCCATCTCCTCCAGCGGCCGGGACACGGGAACCTCCGTTCTCTCCGACTGCAGTTCCTGGTAGGTGAGGGGCTGTGGGACCCAGCGGGGGGCTGTGGCGGAGCCAGGTGCAGAGTGAGCAGGGGCCCAGCTAGCTCCCCTCACCACCACGCCTGCCCTCACCGCCCTCAGTGAGGGGCTCTACACCAGACTGCTGCCCCCCTAAACACCAATGCCTCGGTCGGGAGCCTGGTGCCTGTCCCACTGCAGCAGGGCATGTCTGTGACCTCCTGATGGGGACCTCGTTCCGCAGCCACTGCTGCCCCCGGGGGCGGGGTTTAATGCTCCTTGGCAGAAGCCCCTAATCCCCCTGGATTAGCACCGTCCCCTGCGGCCCCCCTCTGCTGCAGGGCGGGTGATGGGATGAGGAGGGCTCTTGGCTGCCAGCCCTGATTTAGGGATGGGGAGGGGGTTTGGGGCAGTGGGCTGCGACCCTACTGGGGTGTCTAAGAGCAAGGAGGCAGCAGTGGGTGCACCATGTTGGGGGTGGCAAAGGGACTCGACCAGTGCCCAGGGAAGAGTCAGTGGCAGCGAGGCAGCGGCGAGGCTGCGCAGGGGTCCCGGCCCCAGCACTTACCTTTGCCGGGAGCACGCAGGGTGTCGCGGCCGGGCCCTTCTCTACCGGGGGGGCAGCGGGTGGCCTGCAGCCGGGTGATCTCCTGGGTGCTGGTCTCCAGCCGCCTCCCCAGCTCCTCTTTCTCTCGCTCCAGCCGCCCCTTCTCCTCCTCCAGCTGGGACTTGGCCCGCAGCAGCTCGCTATAGGC